ACACACACACACAAGATGTGCAATCTCCATGTAATACGCTTCGGATATCGCTAATGCCTACTGTGATATAAGGAGAAGAATGAATATAGCGATTGTCGTTTTCCCCAAAGTCATAATTTCCCCAAAGTCACTTGTACATGAAAATGATATTAATTTAAAAATGTCGCAACTACTTTTTTTTCCGATTGAAGTCAATAGACTCTAAACCTAATTAGAAATAGTTCCTCATCGTTTCGTCGATGGAAAAGTTATCGATTCGAAATGCATTGAAATTTCAAAGAATTTTCAAAGCACAGACTTTTCAAGTGATAAAAAATTACGTATATAGAGAGTGCAATGAGAGGTTGATATATTTTTAATATATTTAGTAAATTTGTGATACGTAATCTTATATTTTGAATATTTTCGTTCAAGGTTGAATCGACATTTTTTTCGATTTCATTTCGACAATTGCAATATCGCTCTAATCTAAAAATATCAATCTAATCTAAAAAATAAAAGCTTTCTCAAAATTTTTCAGAATTTATAAATAATTTTATAACTTTTTTAGAAACTTTTTAGAACTTTGTGGAGTTTTTTTACGAATGGAAACATTTTTTACAACTGTCAATAAAGGCACATCTTTTCTTCTAATAATTCTTTGTATCTTATTTTATTGTTCTACTCCTGTTGAATAAAATTACTTTTATTTGTACTTTGTAATTTATTTAATATAATCTTACTACGTCACTTTTGTATTGAAGAATTTCAGGGAATAATGTCTCTTATCATAAATGCTGACAATCTATTAGCTGTCTCTTACTATAAGCACAAAATCAAGGAAAAATATCATCGAAAGAAAAATATCTCTCTAAAAATATCACTCTATCAAAATTTAACTAGATCTACTAACTACTAACTAACTACTAACTAATTTTAGCTCGAATCGATATCGAAATGATTTCGATTTTTAATTAATAAAATTTAAACGTTAGTCTATCATACAAGTTTCTAATATCATTTGGAAGTATAAAAATACTACTAGTGTCAATGCTGAGCTAGTAGTGTTACTACTGTAGCAGTATATGACAACATATGACGTAACATAGAATTACTTCCAATAATTGTAATATTTGTTATAAACAACTACTATATTTAATATTAATTATATTTTTTTTGCCTCTTTCAACATCTTTGAATAGATATGTTACAATTATACATTCATTAGCATTATAGGTGTTCATGGTTCTTCGAAGGAGCAGTTCCCGTTCGATCACAGAAATGAAGCATGCTAAATGGAGGTTCGGATTCGGATGAGTGACCGCGCATGGGTGCATCAAAATTAAAAATAGTTCTTCGAATTCATAAAATAAATTTTTTTTATTATAATTTTGTCGTGTATCCTCTGAAATATGATGCCAATTAGTAATTAGCATTAACTTATTTTCACAATAAAATTTCGATGAAACTTTAAACTGAAATTTTTTCCACCACTATTACTCTATTAATGACACTACTCGAATTTACTTATTGTGACAACATTAGTAACACTAGTAATATATTTTTATACTGACTAGATCAATTCAAGATTTTATTTCCAACTCGAAAATTAATCGAAATTGGAGCTAAAAATCCATCGAAATCAATAGAAATTTCGAAAACTTTCGACTTTTATTTTCGATTTCAAAATGATGTCTTTTCGAAAAATTATTTCTGACTTTAAAATTACGTTAACATCATAGGGTTTTTCTCTCTTTTTGATCGGAGTAGAGTACGTTGAATAGAAAATTGTTTCAATTTTCAACTTTATCTTTCACTTAAGTTTTTACATAAAAAGCTTATTTGTGTCTAAGAAATGAACGTGTCTAAGATACGAACATCTGAAGTGAAAATTTTGAACTTTTTTTCTTTTTTAACATATATATTATACGTTACTCCGTTCGTATTTCATGAGCAGTCAAAGTCAAAAGGATTATTTTCAATTCAATGTTAAATAACTCGGTGGAAAAAAGTCACACAATCAAAAAAAAAAAATTAAAAGTTCACGCTTTCGAAAACTATAAATAGTATTTGTGCACTTCTCAGTTACTGCATAACTTTACAAAGTTCATAAAAAATTTTGAAACTTTATGGATCATTGTTTGTAATCATGTACAATAACTCCGCAAAAATCAGACATATCGTTATTTAAAGATCTGAAAAGTAGAGATTTCCAGCTAGAAAATGTTTTTCCGTATGTCTCATTCTGATCATATATGTTATATTCATCTAAAGTTTACTCATTTCAAATATTTTTACTCATTTAAAAAATTTTTCTACTTAAATTAAATTTTTTCATTTTATACAGTTAATTTTTTAATTTTATGTGATAACATTTAAATTAAGCAAAGTAACGTAATTTTGTAATAATGCTTTGTATAGTATTTTGAAGGAGAAATTAAATAATCACTACTTTAATTAGAAGAGAAAATGTTTTTGAATGAATTGTGGTATAATAATTCCAGAGAAATTTAAACTATTTGGATTGGAAGATCCTTCAATAAGATATACGTATATTTATGTTTGTATAAAAATTAAAGATAGTTCCATTTAGATTAAGTAAATAATAAAGACAGTATCACTTGGGTTTTATTTTTTATTTTGATAGTTGAATTTAACTTGGTGCCACAGTTGTTGATATCAAATTTTTTATACAAATGATACATATCATTAAATTAATATTTATTTAATTATTATTTATTTAATTTGGCATAAAGAAATGGAATTTAACTTGGCACCAATTTTGTTGATATTAAATCTTTTATATATCATTAAAATTAAGTAAATAACAAGTGATAATATTATTTGTGTTTTATCTTTTAATTTGATAGAATTTAACTTTATTGGTTAAGATTATAGCATCTGAGTTTTAATTTTTGACAGAAAATTAAAGTTGCCATTATTGGATTGGAATAAGAAGGTCTTCAATAAGAATATTTTTGAAAAAAATTAAAACTACTATTAATTGAGTTGGATACTTAGTATTATGTACAAAGGACCGAGTTTCATCAACTCGATTAAGCCGAATCGGTGATTAATTACGGTGATCAACCATAATCAATTCTATTAAACACAATGAAATTGGCCCAAATGATTCTTTACGAAAAGCACGCATGCTTAGCACTTTTTTTATCTTTTTTTTGAAAAGGTAAGTTTATAATTGACAGAGAATTAAAGTTGCTATTTGGGGGGGAGGGGGAGGAGATTTGGATAAGACGATATTCAATAAAAATATCCTTGAAAAAAAATTAAAACTATTATTTTAATTGGGTTAAATATAAGAATATTCTTGTTAAATATATACTTACATCTCTTGGTTAACTTGCAGCATCGCTGCATCAAAACTTTTTTTTTTGGTCCCGCAGCTTAACTGATTAATTAATTGATTTAATAGTATAACAGATTGATACCTCGCCACTAGTAATGATAATAATGGCAGCAACTCCAGTCAG